TCTATTTCATCTCTTCTTTCAATGCTGCAAAGGCTGCCATGAGGTGCTGTAGTTATTCCTCCATCTATCTTCTCATCAGGATTCAATCCCCACATCAGACACCAAAAGTCGATACATATTTATGGGTTTGTAATAGATTGAATGCACACAGAACTGAAGATAACTTGATAAAATTAATTTTACCAAAAGAAATATTTCATAGTTCTGGAACTTTCCACAAAAATATTCATACAGCTCTTCATAATGTCACAGAGAACAATAAGTAGTTACTCTTCAAACTACTAAGAATGTTAACTCATTTGTAGCTGGTCTTGCATTGTGCAATGGTCAAAATAAAATTATACCTAACAAAGATGTTTTATACTAGCAGGTGATTTTGTGTAGGAAGTATTATGAAGATAATTTTTATAAAAAATATTTGACTTCAGTAATATTTTTTTTTATGATAATTAGTGATGAAAGTGATGATACGGTGAAACCAGAAATAATTTTATAATGCATCAAAAGGTGGTGTAGACAAAGTTGATGAAATGTCATCATTATATTCGACAGCTTGAAAAACCAACAGATGGCCGATGGTCATTTTTTATTATGCATTGAACGTCGCTGCAATAAATGCTGGAGTTGTCATATTGTCAACAAAGACCACTTCCTTACAATATAGAAATAGGAGAAAATTCCTGAAAAATGTGGCTATATCTCTGATACAGCCCCACATAGAGATAAGAAAATATATGCTAGTGCTTTCTAAAGTGCTTCGTTAAAGCATCAATAATGCCACTTCTAGTGGATCAGAAGAACGCCCATCAAAGAAACCAAAACTTGACAAAGGCTGATGTGCTTTGTGTCCAAAGTCAATAAAACTGCAATTTCTTGCAAAATTACATTCATCCAGTCCACATTTGATAATTTTCTATGCAAAATTCATTCTTCCTATGTTTGCCAGAAGTGTATGTTAGCTTTCGATTAGGTATGTAATTATTTTGAATGGAATTTTTTCTTAAAATTAAAATAAGTTAAGTTCAGAAATATAATTTCTTAATGAAATATTGCAATTATTGTGTATAATCAAATGGTTTCTATAAAATTTATAGCACATTTTCCTAATGAAACTGATTGGGGTGACCCAGTCACCTCATGGGATCTCCAAGGTCATTGTTTGGTGTGCACCTTCTGCCCGGTTAAACAAACCTGCTCCTGTATTCTAATTTTTCGAGAAAAGATTTGCTTCCTTAGATTTTACTGTTATAAGAAAAATACTATAATTTCACATATAATTTCATTCGAATTATTTATGTAAGTACAAAATTCATAACATTCATACTTTTGCAAATTTTTTAACATGTGAATATTTTTATCCTTAGGTTTATTTATTAGTTTCATATTTCAGTGACATGTTTCAGATATCTTAATTAAAAGTCTGTGTACTTTCTTATCCCATCAAAAAATATTGACGAAGCAATGTACTATGTTGCCAAAAAGTATTTATATTGCAACCTGAGTATGCACATTACAGACATGTATTTATATATATGTGGAATTGTATCTTGTTGGTGTGAAAGTTGCCAGCTGATGAAGATGAAACTTTATATTTTTTCTGCAATATGGCATTTTGCCTAATAATAGAGATTGCAAACATTTCTATTCTTTGAAGTTGTATTTCTTTAATGACAGAATTTTGTGGAAATACAATTTAAAAAACTGAAAGCAAAGGGTTAGAATGTGGGTCTAAATCGTGTTTGAAGAGAGTTTTGCATCTCATTTATAGCAGCTTTTCATTTTATTTATTTTTGGACTAAGGAATATACATCAATGAAATTTGTGAAAAATAACTAGGATTATCCCCAAATGCAAGTATGATAGGTGTACTTACACCTTCACGAAGTGTATATCTTCAGCAAACTTGTGCATTTAATCAACAAGGTATTTGTTTCAGATGACAATGATTTTAAGTTTTGTAACAGCATATGAAGCTGAAGAAGATTATCCTAATAGGGAATCATAACAAACAGTTATTTTAAAGTATCCATTTGTATTGATCACAAAAGAGTGATGAATCATTTAGCAATTTACGATCATCCAGTCTACATTAAAAAGGAAATTCAGACTAAAAGTATTTATGCTACTTATGTATTATCCCATCAACCATCAAATTGTTGCCAAGCAGCCAGTTGTAGATAAGCATAACATCACAACATACTCATAACATCTCCACTTTTATTTAATGTAACACTTATTGTTAGTGTTTTTATGAACAAAGATATAAATGAACTGTTATTCCTGTATTTTTTCTTGCATTTCGAACATTTTTTATAGAATCACATTTGTGATTCCACTTTCATGTATAACTGGTTGAGAGAATTAAGATTTATTAAATGGGAAAAGGAACATATGACTGACAAAGCAGTAATAGACTGGAACAATCACCTGTGAGAAATTTGCATGTATAATGTTCTAAATAGAGCTTCTGGTAAAATTGGAAGGTCTAAGAAAATGGTAGAAATCACTGAACACTTTTTTACAAAGTGAAAAAATGAAATACTTTCACAGCAGTGGTTGTTTGGTAGGTTATGTAGAGTGAGTGACAAATGTTTTATTGTAAGAGTTGCAGTAAAAGTGTGGCTGATAATTTCATGGGAATGATCGGTGCAGTCTTCGCCACTTCTGTAGACAACTGACGGGATAATACTTAAGTATCATATTTTTTAATCAGTAGAAAAAGTTAACTGTTTCTTTTCTTCTTAATTCTTATTCCTTCTAAAAGTAGGCACCATAATAAAAGTACTGTCATTAGAGTTTTCACCTTTATTGTTCACACTTTATTGCAGTTTCTTTCATATATAAATATATATTGAGAAGTTAATATAGAAAGCTTAAGGGGATGTGGTCCACCAAGTAGATCATGCTAACTCACATTTTAGGATATTTGTGATTCATCATCGAGTTTCATCATCTCGCAGAAGTACAACTTGTAATCCATTGGAGGATCATCCCAGAATTTTGAATTCTGCATTTTGTCTTCATTAATGTGTGGCATTATAGTTGAAAATTACAAGTATAACAGAACTCAATGCCCCCCCATAATTTTTTTTTAAGCATACTGTATAATGATATTTGAAGATCTCATATATATTTTCTCAGGCCTTTTCGAATCAACAGATTTTGTTGCTGCATGTATACAATCTTTGATGATTATGCACATGCAGTGGACGTAGACGTTAAAACTTTTATGGAGACATAATTCAGGCCCATAAAGGTATGTTATCCTCCACACACAGAATCCCAGAGCAAATTGTGAGTTAGATTCCCTTGGAACTTTTAATAATTGGCGTCCTTTCCTTGAAGGTTTCAGTATTCAATCCTTATTATACATAAATTTTTAAATATCTGATTTTTACTTTTATCATATTTACTTTGTTATTTATTTGATCTTTAATACATAAGATTTAATACACTTCTCTTTTTTATGTGTTTATTTCTAATCATTTTTACTTTTTATTTATTTATTTTTAAAGGAGATAAGAGGTTTATTTTTGATTTTTAAAATGTATGCGAGACTCACTTTTCCTTAAAATATCATAATGAACACAAGTTGTATATTGATTTTTGTAGTTTATTTATTATGTATAAAATGTATTCCAAAAGTTCCTGAATAATCCTTCCTTAGTAGAACATAAATGTGATTTCAAAGCAGTATCCAGTAGATGGCATTGAAGATTGGCAAGATTCTTCTCATTTTTCATATATTTTAATTGCAGTTAGTCATAGGGATCATACTATGCTGCTTTGTTTAAATACTTGTGTTGTCTCTGTAATTTTCAAACTGTATCAGATTCATAAATATTATTACGATCATATTATTATAAATTTTACGTTAAACTTAAGAAGAAATTTACACAGTCTTATAAAGTGCTGAAACAAGTTTATACAGATCACTGTTCAAGTTTTTTTCAGTGTTGTGGATGATTTAAGCATTTCGAAGATGACTGATAACCAGTCAGTGAAGATTTTTGTTCAGAGGGCCTATTAACCTCAACTGACAAAATAAATTCCTATGACTCTAATTTCTGTAAATTAACAAAAATGTGTGAAAAATCTTTGACAATTACATCATTTTAATTGGATCATGCTATCAGATTTTGACTGAAAATCTAAAAAGGTATTGAATTTCTGCAAAATTTATCCCTTATGTAGTGACTTAGGATGAGAAACACTGTTGCATTGCAATTTGCCAGAGACTTTCATGCAAATAATGATTAAACTTTTGGGAAAAGAATGATTATTGTTGTTGAAGTATAGGTTCATGGCTCTAATATTGAAACAACAGATGAATCTTCACAATGAACAAAAAAGTGTTCCCCAGGAGAAGAACAACAAAGTGCCACAGGTCAAATTGAATTATTTCAAGGTCAGATTGAGTCATTTTGATTATTAGTTAGTAGTATTAGTATTATTGCCATTGACAATATCATCCACCATAATTTTTTTCTGAAATGCAAACAGTAGATTATTCATATTATCATTAATTGTCGAGATAACTGAGAGAAAACATTCATAGAAAATGGTCTGAATCAAATGTCTTGATTTCCCTATTGCAATAATGCACCTGTACATAGATCTCTTATTTGTTCCTGATATTTGTGCCCATAAAAAAAAAAAAAACTGAAATTAAGAAAGTTCAACACAATCCATATGGTAAAATAAGGGAGAATTTATAGGAAATATAGACTTGGTTTCAAGACTTAAGTAACTTAAGTAAGATTATTGTATCTTAATTAGTAAAGTAGAACTATGTATTGAAAAAAGATTCTGATAAAAAAAATGGGGAAATTAGTATAAGCTTGCATTATATTTTTAATTAATTTTATTTTGAACCTGTTTAATATTGAAATACTTTCAAAACATTTTATAGATGTAAGTTCTTTTTGCACTGATTTATCCTTTCTCCAATTTATATAATTTGGGGCAGTGTTATTCATTAAGAAAAAAAAATTCTTTTTCTTAATAACCTGTGAATTTTTCAGTTCTAAAGACACCTACATAAAACTTTGGGATTTAGATACTCAACATTGTTTTCAGACCATTGTTGGAACTCGGCATGAGGTATGTAGCTATTTTATTTAAAACATATTGTATACAGTCAAAAGTCTTTAATCCAGACTTGTCGGGACTTCGGCGATTCCGGATTATCGATTTTTCCAGATTATACATCATCAGTTTAAATCTGGTAAGATGGCATGCAGAAATTAAAAAATTAAAAATACGAAACCGTAATTTATAAAATAATGAGCAATTATGATCTAAAGGGTATCAAAATTTACAAAAAAAAGAAGCTTAATATTTCTTTGTTTACTTTATTAAACATTTCTTTCAATGCGCGCATGCGTAAAGAATACCTTACGCATAGCCGAAATTAGAAAATTGCAACCAGAAAACTATTTGATTTGTATTCATGATTTTTATAATGATGAGGAATTTGATTTAAATCATATCAAAGACGGAGTACATCGAGATTAAATACTACATTTAGTAAGGAATTATAAGCCGAATAAAATAAAAACATCTGCCCTGAAGATAACGATAGTGCTGACAGATCAACTTCCAGTTCATTGCGCGCTGCGATGTCCCCCCCCCCCCCCCCGCTCAGAGCAGCATGAAATTGATAAACAGATTTTGGAACGGTTAGATAAACAAAGGATATGCCTTTATCCATTTTTTGTAGCAATTCATTTTTTGTTTGATGGACATTGAAACATACTTTTGTTTTCTAGATCCTTTGGGAGCTCCAGCATCGGAAATTCTATTTGACATAATCGAAAGTTCAAGCTTACTTTTAGAAAATTGCTCTTACAGTCTGCAAAAAATAATAAGCCGGATCCAATTCGAAGATTAAGGAACAACGCAATCATCAACATTAACTGAAATAGATAATTAGATAATTTTAGCTTATACCGTCCGTTATACATTAAAATGCGCATGCGAAAACGTATTCTGCGCTTGCGCAGACGCATATGCGCAGTCGTAAATTCTTTCGCGCACGCGTAAAACGCCTATGCGCATGCGCAGAAAGATTTTAGCTTTGAGGTCCGGATTATAGATCATTCTGGATTATGGGTGTCCGAATTAACGACTTTTGACTGTAGTAATATTATATATAACAGAATTATGAGGTATGTAGCTATTTTATTTAAAGCATATTGTACAATAATATTATATATAACAAAATTAATAATAATTCAGTTTCATATTTCATTGTTTCTGTTTGAAATATATATACTATATATATTTAATTGACTATTGTTGAATATATGATGAAGCTGAATAAGCTGGCCTAGGTATTCTCTAATTATCATCCCGTAGAAAGTCACAAGTTCTTTGCAACATGAGAAAAAAAATTGTTTTGCTATTTTTATAGCTCTTGGATGTAGTACTTTTCATAAATAATATCAAAAAGAAACATTTAATGAACTCCATAGCCATATTATGATTAGACATGACCTCAGAAAATTCTCTTCACCGATCACTAAAATATCGATTAAATATAAAACAAGAAACTTCATATATACACTAGCATATGTATGATGTGAGCATATATGGATTGACTATTGTGATTTATTACTCAAAAATATGTCCAAAACATGATTTACCAAGTTTTGAAACCAGGTATGTGGATAATCAGAAAATACCATATGATACAATAACATAATAGGGTTGAAATATTGTGCAGATATTATATCAAGACTTGCAATTATGAGATCACACTTGGTGCAGTCACAAAGGGCCCTATGTTCCAGTGGATCCCCAGAAGTTTTGGCAGTTTGAGTCCCTCATTTCATAAACCTGCCATTAATTATATCATCTTTTTTCTACCAGTGAACCTGTATTTGATAATTTTTGGGATACTGTATATTAAAATTAATAAGATAAGGTTATTTTTAGAGAAATGACATAATCAGACATCACAGTGCTATTGAATATTTGACCAAGAAAGAGACAACACCAGAATGTACCTTAAACGTGTGAATAATGTATGTGGGAAACCTGTTGCATTTATGGTCAGAAAGTGGTGAAGAGGTGAGGGAAATGATTAAATTTTCTTTTTGGGTTGTGAAAAAATTTCTTTTCAGGGATCAGAGAGTTAACTTAAAGATATATTGAGTTAATTGAGTTCCAGAATTCAGAAAGTTAACTGACAGCCCATTGATGTTTTATGGGTACTGGGCAGGAAAACCATTAGAAAAATTCTCCAAAATGTTTTGTCACTATATTTTAAGCCTAAAATTAATTAATTCCTTGTAAAAAATAAAAAAAAAGTCACTATTAGGCATACTTCTGTATGTTATAGTTTTAGTTCTGTCCATAGCAATAAAATTACTTGTAAAATTATTTAGTCTCCCAATGTGTTTATAAGCAGCTACATGTAAAATTTATGCTTACATAGTTCATACTGTAGTCTGTAAAGTTGTTCATAATTCAGTAGAAGAAGATTGTCTTGTTTTCTAATCATTTGTAAGTTTGATGGAACATAATTTTTCTTCAAGACCTTTTCATTTGTGTGTATATAACATAGCTAAATTGAAGCAAGGAATTTTGGCCTGTTTTGATACTTAACATGCTTTCTTTTCTAAGAATGATTGTTTTTAGCATTTCAGTTAAAAAAAAGGAAATATGTTTAATTGGTTATTGACACAACCAACTCGGTGTAATTTGATGATTTTTTACAGATGAAAAGGTAAAAGTTACTTGTCAGGTTCAGGTTGGTGGTTTTTATGACATTTTTTAAAGATTTCTAAACTATTGATATTTATTGCAAGTTGGCAAACATTATCAACATATGAAAAGGAAACATACTTTAGTAATTTAAAGTACAAATTTTAATTATTAAATAAGTATTACATGATACATTAAAAAAGAAAACACATTTTTCTCAAATTTTTTTTTTGTTTTTGTTTTTGGTGCTGTTCTCCCCATGTGCACAATGATCTGCTTACACTTTAAAACAAAATCAGAGAACATCAGGGATATAGCATTGCACAAACATCATTTATCTACCAAAAACATATTTTTATTGCTTCCATTACAGATTTTGCGTCAAAATTCTGTGTTCCTGATGGTTCATTCATATTATCATTAATTGTCAAGATAACTAAGAGAAAAAATTTAGAGAAAATTATCTGAATTTTTCATAACAAATCTTGATTTCCCCATTGCAATAATGCATCTGTACATGGATCTCTTTTTTATTCGTGATATGTGTGTGAAAACAAAAACTGAAATTAAGTCTGAAGTTAAGAAAGTTCAACACAACCCATATGGTAAAATAAGGGAGAATTTATAGGAAATATAGATTTGGTTTCAAGACTTAAGTAAGTGTATTGTACCTTAATACACATGAAATTTTACCTCAGTTTCTTCCATCACTCTCAAACTCCACAAGCTCATATTTTAAAATTAAGTTCAAAGCATAAAATATGATTTGTTTATAAAAGGTGTTGGACGACAGCAAAAAAATAATGCGTGAGAAAATTATTACATTGCTTGATTGTTATGAGGACGACATTGCTTGATTATTATAATCATTGTTTATGAGCCTACTTGTGTGCGTGATTGCCAGAGTCTGGCACATTCTGAAAATTTGGTGACTTTTACGAAGGTGATTGCAATAACACAAAAGTACCCTTAACTGTTTGTTTCACTTGAACATTTATTTGCATTTGTAGATTTTTAAAAGCTCTGATTGCTATGTTCTGCTTTAAAAAAAAAAAAAAAAAAAAAAAAAAAAAAAAAAAAAAAGAGTGAAGTAACAGTTTAAATTAAATATAGTAGAAAGTTTGTTAAAATGCTGTTCATGTGCTAATAAAATTATACAAGATGAACAATTTTTAAAATTGTTTGCTGCTAGACCTTTAGCTTTTAAAGTCTTTGTCACTTTTAAGAACTTAAGTAATAAATACAACCTTACTTTGATCCAAATATTAGATAATTTTTAAATGCTCAAAAATGTAATAAAATGAAATATGATTTTAATTTGGTATAGATTTTTGTGTTTCTAGAAATTGCCTGTAATTGTAATGAAGCATGTCTTTCAATTTCAGTTGCAATACCGAAATGCAAATTTTTTCAAGGAAAATTATTATATTGTAATGTGATTAATCATTATATTTTTGAATTATTTTTAAAATGTTTGAATTACTGTGACCTGAACGGGATTGCCTAAGAAATACGCGTGGCGCTCAACGTGTTAAATAAGGAACAGAGGTCTTTTAGAAGTTTATGCAGAGCATCCCATTAACCACTGGTGTATCCATACACCAATTCCTTAATGTGGAAGTGCCTATAAAATGAAAATGTTAGTATTTAAAGGAAGCTGTGGGTCTTCTGGTTTTGTACAAAAAGTAAATAGAAATATCTTAACATAGCACAATTTCATTAAAACTGTTTCAGATAATGTTAAATGCAATGAAAATTAGTTATGTTATAAAATTTTAAAGTTGTTCTGATTATGTACAATAAGTCGATCTAGTCAAAATTTTTTTGTTTGTAATATTGTATGATACATTTTAAAAGTTTTTTTTTTTAAACAATTGTCAGTATGAACAGTCGGAACTTAATTATGACAGTTTACTTCAAAATTTGATTTTTTCTTTCAGTCTGGCTTCTTTTTATCTAAAAGTTTTTTTTTTAGTACTATTGTAGGGTAATGTAAAACTTTGTTTACTAAAAATATTTTGCTTTTGTTCTCGTTAAGTTTGTGTAAGACCTCTTGAGTCATCATTTATTGTTCATTATCTCTATATGTCTCTCCCCATGAACTTTTCTTTGAATTTCTTAGTTTTGTATCTTTGGGAATAGGCAAATTATGAAGAGCATTTAAAATTTTTAATCAAGAAATCCCTAAAACTAAATTGTGTCTTTACTTTAGTTAAACGCAGAATAGCCACCATAATTTTCTAAATATTTCATTGCAATAATATATAAGAGGAATGCATTAATTCTTCACAAAATGATAAAGACAGGAGCTAATAAGGGATTACATATCATGAGCATGTTAATTTTCATTCAATTAAACTGTACATCAATTAATAAAGAATATTATGGAAATGTAATGTCAATAAATGCTGATAAACTGGAATAATAAAAATAGGAAATTTGCTTCAAGGGTTTCAGATTGCATTTATAGTAAACTGTATGTTTCATTTATTTATTATTGGCTCAAAATATTTATATTGATCAAATTTAACCAAACAGAACTAATGTGGTGAATAGAGATATTTGGACCAGTTGTTTATAAAATGTATGGATTGCCCAAATAGAAAGAGTAAAGCAAGTATAATACTGGGTGTGTTTTTGAAGTCAATAAAAGTTTCTTTACTGAAAAGCAAAATCAACACATCACTGCTATTTTAATGTCAAATTGCTGCTAAAGTTCACAAATAGAAGATAATAGTATCAAATAGTATTAATTCAGGTATAATTTCTAAATTTTCTCAAAAAAATATTCTTAAAGAAAATGCAGTAGCTGTGAATGTAAATGTAATGTTATATATTCTATTTCCTGTTTCATCTGTTAATTAGAAAATAGTTCTAATTTTAAAAATTTGATTTTATTTAATCTTAAAAATTCTAATTGCGGTACATTGTTGCATATTTCATTAAAGAGGAGTTCATAGGGGGACCCTTGAAGATTCCAATGCCTTAATTAATATGTAAATTAAATTTAAGTAATATTTTCGCTGTAATAGAGAAATACTGATTAAATTTTAACATCCAAGAAAAAGAGAGAGAGAGAGAACTAATTTTTTTAGTGTTCAGTTTAGTTGGTTAGTTGTTTAGCTTTATTCTTAAATAAGCCAAAAACTTTGGTTTTATAATATGGCAACTGCTTTGCTTTGAAATGTGTTCTGGAAATGCTAGTTATTTAGCCATATTTTTAAAGTACCAAAAAACTTTGGTTTTATAACATGACAACCATTTTGCTTTAAAATGTGTTCTGGAAGTACATTTATTTGGAGAGGGAAGAATGAGTGACAAAGCTAGAATCAAAATATTAAAAGTAAAAAGAAAAATAGGGGAGGTGTTTTCCTTAATAAAAGAATAGTTTCTTAATTCTTATTATAGTTTCAATTTTCTTTTGTTTCTAGATTTTGGATTTTGTGATTATTAAAGGTACAAGATTAATAACTGGAATAAATGGAGAACATTTAAATGTCTGGGATTTGCTTCTCTCTGAGAAGGTAAGTTATGTATGGTGTTAGTTACATGGCTATATTTATTAATTTTTGTTATACAGTGCAAAGTCCTAAATCCAGACATCCATTATCTGGAACGATCTAAAATCTGGACCCCAAAGCCACAAATATTTTGTTTTTGATATACTTTACACATTTGATTTTTCCTTCCATAATAAAATATGTTGAGATTTTTCACTTAAAAATTGCGATTCTTAATTTCACTTAGGCACTAAATAAAATACCTTGTTATGGAAAAACAATCATGTAAGCATAAATTTGTGAGATTAATAATTTGGCTTCGTAGCCGAGTGTCTGCTTGGCATACATCTAAAACCGAATACACCTATTTTTTAATCCCTGACGTCGACCTGGCGAGTCATTATTTATTTTATTTTGCTTTCATCACTGCATGTTTATCAATATATGACAGCTTCAGTATATGTCATGCAGCGATGTCTAAACTTTTTTTCATATTAGGAATTGAATAACAATAGTATGGCAATCTTTTATGCTAACATTATGCTTGGCGATGATTATAGATTTTTAAATGCTCTAAGAAATGTTGACGAGAAAATTTCAACAAAAATTTCTTTTCATATGTTAAAATAGATTTTGTTAATGAAAATCATAGGCCAAAAGATTACATTTAGTGATATTTTAATTAACGCAAAATTAGACATTCTGAGTTTTTACCTTTTTTCTCAGTGTAAAGGCACTTATTCTTAAAGGCTTTTTTGGCTTATCAAAATTTTTACTGTATTAGAAAATCCCCTCTTTTGATGACGATAATTTTATTCTTTTGATGATGGGGAGGTAAAGGCGTTTATGCCTAAGAACTCCATAACACGAACTTCCTTGATCCTATTTTAATTAAGAATAACTTATATGTTATTAACCATAGACCCAGAAGCGGCGGCAGACTATGTCAGCACTGGACGGCAGAATTTAGGGAAGACGAAATTTTTGGAATTTGGGGAAGCACCGAGTGGCAAAATTAAGGGATGAGTAGTTTTTTATGATTTAGGGAAAGCACTGGGATCCAAAGTTTAGGCGCGGTGAAAATTTAGAACTTAGGAAGGTGCTTTGTAGCAGAATTTAGGACCCATAGAGACTGCACCAGGCAGTATCTAGCAACGGCCCTAGATAAAGCCTTAAGTATATGTGGGAGTTTATTTATTCAGGACTCAGATTAGTTTTAAGCATGTGTAGTAAACATAGGTATTGTAAATAATAAACCAATACAATTCAGGCTTAATTCAGTATGCAATAGCAGCAAGACAAAATTTAGCGAAACAACTTTTCTTTAATCACCAATCTTGTGATACACAGTCAATAATGTATAATGGATTAAGCTAGGCTAAAATTATCTTTACTGATTCTAATGCATTTCGGTTAATGTAGCAGACTGCGCTGCTCTGTAATCTTGTAATTTGATCCAGCTTATTATTTTTTGCAGACTGTTATTATTACGGCAATTTTATAAAAACTAAGTTTGAACTTTCGATTATGTCAAAAAGAGTTTCTGGTAAAATCCTAGTATATGGTGCAGCCTTGGCGCGATTTTGAAAATGATCGCCAGCACCAAAATGACCCCGTTTACTACTAATCGTATATGTCCGTTTACTGCTCATCATAAAGTCACGAAAAGTAGCCAAATCCCCTGTGCACTGGATACTAGGATTAAACCAAGTTCCCAATTTTGGAGCTGTTAAAGGATCTACAAAGCAAAGCCATGTTTCAATGTCTATTAAACAAAAAAAGGAATTGCTGCAAAAAATGGATAAAGGCATATCCGTTTCAAAATTGTGCGAGGAGTATGGCATTGGAAAGTCAACTGTATATGACATAAGAAAAAAGAAAAAGGAACTTTTTGAACTTTTGGTGGAAGCAACTTGAACAACTTACATTTAAAGAAATGTTTAATAAAGTAAACAAATAAATATTAAGCTTTTTTTGTAAATTTTGTTGCCCTTTAGATCATAATTGTTCTTTATTTCATAAATTATGATTTCATATTTTTAATTGCATAATTTCTGCATGCCATCTTACCAGATTTAAATTGATGATCTAATATCCGGAAACGCTTAAGTCCCGAGGCGTCCGGATTTCGGACTTTGTACTGTAGTAGCATCCAGAGAAAAGTTCCAAGTTAAATCATCCTGTAATTATAAATTTCTCAAGCATTATATTTATCAAAAGACATTAAAAAAGAAGATTAATATTATGATCCATGTATAGTGATGTATTGCACATTAATTACATTTACTTCTAGGAGTCATCAAATTTAAATAGAAGCAAAAGAATTCGTCTTGAAGTCCCCAGTGATGAAGATGATTCTGAGGCAGATAATTTGCGTAGAGATGAAAGTGAAGATAAAAATGTAAAATAATTGTTTTAAAATATATAAGATTTTCTTGTAACTTCTCAGTTATAATATCCCTTAACAGTATAACTATGATCAGGGCATTTATATAGAAAATTAGCTATATACCCATTCTTCACATGGGAGGGAGAAGAAATCTATTTCCTTAAAATATTAGGGAAGTTCACTGAAGTACAAACTGGAAAAAAGAAATCACAGTTGGAAAAAAAGAGTGAAAGAGTTAAAAAAAGAAATCACAGTTGGAAAAAAAGAGTGAAAGAGTTAAAAAAAGAAAAAGAAACGCCTCAGTATAGCCGGGAAAAGTGTAGTGATAATTGCAATGCATATTCAAAATGCCTTTTAAAACTCATTGCAATTTATTTATTGTACATCCTTTTGATTAAGATTTAAACCAGAGTGTGATGAATATTCCTTTGCATCATATCAATATCAGCATAAAAGGAAATGAAAATTTTTATGTCAGAAGATCATCAGAGGAGGATTTATGTCAGAAGGGCATCTTGTCACAAACTTTAATTTTGCTTAATATTTTTCCATGCATGAATTTTTTTAAATAACATTTAAACATGTGCTGTAAAATCAGTTTTAAATTTGTTGTGTAATACTATTCAAGTTTATAAAATAGATAAACACTGAATTGAGAATCTGGATTATCTAAAGTCATTTTTCTAAAATTGTTTGATTTATTTTTAACTTTCCATTGTGTATTCTTATGCAAATAAAGTAAGTGCAAAAATAAATTAAATAGTAAAAATACTATTAAGAGACTGTTTTATGGTTTCGGTAAAATGCAATTTGTAAATTGTAAAAAATATTTTTTTTATAATTAAAATCATAGGGTAACTAAAAAAAATTGATTTTTAAAAAATCAGAATTAATGAAAATAAAATCTGTTTGAATGACATATTTTCATTTCTTACTTGTTATTTCGGTGATTATGTATTATCTCGTTGACTGTGTAAAACTAAGAATCAGAAGGAAGAAGTTCTTTTAACTCGTCTTAGAATTGGCTAAGCTTGAGTTTCTCGTAAACATCTACTGAAAGCTGAGAGTGAACCTTTGTGCCCATATTGTGAAATGCTATGTCACCTTTTTAACATATAGTCCATATTTTAAAAGTCTGAAGTTGAAAGATTTTAAGGCCTGTGACTTGCCTCTTGACCATTTAATTGGGAAAGCGGTAAATCATAATATATTTCATTACTTAAAACAGTCTGATCTTTATTATTTAATGAAATTTTGTTTTGAATTAATTTAAGAATTTAAGAATTTTGAATTAATTTTGTTTTTAATTTTGTTTTGAAATAATTTCTTTGTATTTTAATGCATTTTAATAGATTTCATACATAAGTATAATAAATAAATGAATACATAACAAACTAAAAAGCAGTTCAAAACCAAATTCCGTTGTGTGCTGAAAGCAGCAAAAAGCAGTAGCAATAATGCAAAATAAATTTAAAAAAAAAAAAAATTACATCTTTTGCTGTATCATCAACAGAGGGTTGGCATAACAAAAGCAGTAAATATATCAGCTTGGTTCTGAACCAATAAAGGCACAAACTAAAGTTTAATGTGTCAGATAATCTCAGAAAATTTATAAAAGTAATCTTTGTTTTTATCAGTTTAACCCCTACAAGCTACAGTCAGTAGGGCAAAAAATTGCAAAATTTTACAAAATTATAGCATCAGCATTGTAAGCAAGCTTAAAAATTAAAACACTTTTTATTTTGAGCAGACTGAGTAAAAAAAAAAAAAAAAAAAAAAAAAAAAAAGTGAATACAAGCAGTCCAACACATGAAAAATAATAACATATGGAAATTTGAATTCATATGGTCTGGAGTAAAATTCAACAAAATTATAGCATCAAAATCATAAGCAAGCAAAAAATCTTAAAAAGCTAATAAATATTACTCGTATTTCTATTTAACACAACTTTTGTGGGAAATGACTAAACTCATTTTTTGCAGATTATTATTAAAATCTGGGAAATGACAAAACTTGTTTTCTATGAATTATTATTATCAGTGGGTTTTTTGGTGACAGAGTGATTTTTTTCTGACCAAGAATTTCAAGCAGTTCTGATTTAAGCTCAGATTTTGGAATATTCTGAAGAAGAATGATCATCAGTAGACAATCCACCTGTTTTTTTAGGACACTTAGGAATAAATACAGAAAACCTTCTGAATATTGTGTCATATATAGTGTATATTCTAAACTAAAATATTAAAGTTATCCCTGGAAATACTGCAAAAAAGGCAAACATGATTCAATAAAACTGTTTCAGTATATTGTTGAATTATAGTAGTCCCAGTTGCAGGCACATATAGGGGTGTGCAGTCATTGATCATGATGCCGGCCACCTTTAATACCACTTTCACACCAGATAAGTTGGAAACTACAAGCCAATGACAGAATGAAGCTGCTCTCTTCTGAAAATATTATTCAAGCCCAGTCCTATTCAATGCAATAATGATGCTCCTAATGCCATTGCAGGTGGGTCGTACAATGCTTTCTGAACAATGAAAAACACATACCATATCTATATGTGTGTTTGTCCTTCTCTCAAATTTCTGGCTACAGTTTTTTGTGAGATCCTCTTTCCTGTAGCAGCAAGAAACTCATTCACCACCAGCTGAGATAGGATACACTGGTTTGCTGATAGGGCAATGTATGTACACTTGTCTCCTGCAGCCGTCCATCAATACTCTAAACCAGGGTTGACCAAACTTCAAGATGATAGGAGCTGCTTATTGGGTTTAATAAATGTTCTCAAAAGCTCCAAATTAATATTATTTCAGAAATAATAAGACAGGTTTTGAATATTAAGAAACTAATGAAGTAAATTAATGAGAATTTTATATTTTATATATGATTAATATAGTTGCATATAAAAATGGACAATTAAATCTTATACCTTCTGCCTTTTATTTAGAAAAAATTAAAGAAAATATAAATTTGTAACTATTGTACTGTGCGACTGAGTGTTCTTCCTTCAGGTAGAAAAATAAAATACTTTCTTCTGATTTCCTTTATCCCTGTTCATTTATAATTATTGTTGTTTGATTTTAATAAAAGTAAACTGAAATCAGAAGCATATGCATTGGTCTGCAATTATGTAAAAATTTTGAATGAATTATAAGTCATTATTAACCCATTAGCCGCTGGTGGTGTTGCGTTGACGCAACAGTCAAAATAAATGCGTATATAAATATAACTACCTAAGATATTTTATACCAGCAGATGATTTTGTGTAGGGAATATTATGAAAATTATTTCTGTAAAAAAATATTTCCCTTCAACAATCATTTTGTTTATAATAATTAATCTCATACTTTAAGAAAAATTTACGCCTGGGTATTTTTGCTGAAAATATTTAATGAAAGAAACGCCGTCTTTATGAGTGATCTACTTTTAGTCAAGGTCACCATTTATCAGAACATTACATCAGTCAGATGTTTATATTTATGTTGAAAAGGAAGGGAAAACAGGTGTTGCGTTGACGCAACGTCAGCAGGAAATGGGTAGTCAGTCTCCTTTACCACTCATTCCTTTCGATGTTCTCGTTCATGTTCTGGTTATTTAAAAATGCCTAGAACGAGGTATCTTACATTAGAAGAAGCCCTTCAAAGATTTTTTGGTGAAGAAACAGATGATGATAATGTTAATAATGACCAGAATGAAACTGATACTGTTGTTGTTCCCCCAGAAATTGCAGAAACTAGTGACGAAGAAGAAAGGAATGGCAATGTTTTAAATAATGATAATGATATTTTATCAAATGATACTGCTGGGGAAGTTGAAATTCACGTAAGAAGTAAGTTTCAGCCTCCTGAGAGCACTTATAGTCATACTAAAAAGTTTAAAAAGCAGAAGACTGAAATCTTGAAGTGGATAAAAAAGGAACTGTTAGTTATGTCTCAGGAAAAACGTGAAGAAAGAGATAGAAGAAAAATTATAAACGGCAAAACACAAGGTAAAACTAGTGCACAGATTTTCGATTTTCTTTTTGGTTTAGACATTTACTCTCTTCTCGTTGAACAGACAAATATATACGCTCAGCAAGAAAAAAAAAAGCCCAGAATTTTTTGCAACTGAAGCCTATATGAGAAGATTTATTGAAATATTATTGCTTACAGGATATCATTCTTTACCTCAAGAAAAAATGTATTGGTATTTGAATAAGGACATTTCTGTTCCTGTTGTACGAGAATTGATATCACGTTTGCAGTACAGGAATATAAAGCAGAATTTGTATTTGACAATAGTCAAATTGACAATACTGATAAATTATATGAGGTGAGACCGTATCTAAACTTACTAAATATCACCACTTTTTACTACTATAAATATAAAGTCTCTTTTAGATTTCAGACGCAAGAATGCATTATTCCTTTTGCAAACTCCTAGAGTGTAGAATTAGCCATAAATAGATCAGCAAGAGAAAGACCTAGTAAATTCAGCATTCAAAAACCATTGCCTGGAGATGGTAGACATTTTATCGTAAAGTCTGTTGATAACAAAAGACTTTGTAAAGAGTACCATAGCCAGACTGTTTATAGATGCAAAGTATGTAATGTAGCTTTACATCATGATTGTAATCAAGCTTTTCATGCTTGAATCTTTCAAGTGAAATAATCTGTATTTGTAAAAGAAATACAATGCATATTTTAATATTAAATTAATTACAAGTAAAGTGATTTGTAGATTTATAAAACGTTATACAGCTAAAAAGTAATCCTGCACTCCACTCAAAAGAAACATCACACGAGTACAATCCTACTCACTAAACATCCGTAGTCTTATTCCGCTGATGTTGCGCGAACGCAACACTCGCTTTTTCCACAGGTAAGAGCATTTTTTTTTTTTTTATTTTCAATGTAAATTTATGTTATAAATACTTAATTTAATATTTGTTATTATTTTCATGAGAAAAGAAACATTCCTTATAGTTTTGGCGGGTAATGGGTTAAAAAATAGAGTGCTTTTTTACCCCATTCTTTTTTGACTTGTAAGCAGTTTTTTAGAAAGAATAAATTAAATGATGCAGGTCAACATGCATTGCAAAGAAACTGTTATTCGAGAAAGAAAAATTATCTATTAAATTTTTTATGCTTTTGCATAAATTTTTGTTTTCCCCGCAATTAACATACTGGTATGAAACCTAACATTAAGTAATTGAATTAATTCGTTAGACGAGAAATAGGTTATAAATTACAATTTGTTTTAGCTGAGGTGGATACATTCAAATCCTCAGATCTTGAGGACTTTGGGAAGATTTTATATTCGAAACGTTGAATCTTAGAGCTTTTTTTTCTTCACTCAGATCTTTTAAATCCTAACAAATTGTTAATCATTTTAACCTAAAACTTTGGATAATCTAACAGGATTTTACCTCTAGACCAGTACTTTCGAGAACATTCTGGCATGTTATCTAACTACTAGTATAAATACAGAGTTCGTGCCATTTTTCATCAGACTGCTTCCTATTACCACTGCTATAAGACTCTATGCTTTTCTGTCAATTACTCTTCCCTTTGTTAGAACAGTGATGATGTCAAAATCCTAAATTTAACCTTATTTTAATTTGAATTTCATTTAAAAGAAAAATGATCTGTTATTTGAATTGAATAATGAGGTGCAATTAAAGTTAAATTCTTCTGTGTCGTCATTCTGCTGTATGGCACTTAGCCACAACAATGTCTGGATTCTGATGCCAAGCTTCATCATTCGTGTGCCTGACTGCCAAATTATTACAGTTTATTAATTAACTGGTAAAATGCATTCTGCATGGGAAAAAACTCCTCTGGATGTATTTCTAAATTCGTGGAGAATGTCTAACTTCCATCGCAGTGCCATAAAGTGAGTCAAGGACAGTCATTTGCTGTGCTTAAAAAAGTTTCTTTTTTTCAATGCTTCAAAAACCTTGGATGCAAAATTCTTCTTTGTGCGTTGATGTGAGGTGTGTGCTCATACCAAATCTTGTGTGTTGTGCAAAATAATTGGTGAAAATTAATTCAGTTATCTAAAGTGAATTCATTAGAAAAATTATAATTTAATGGTATAAAAATGCACTCAAAGACAAAAATCTAAAACCAACAAAAAAGTGAAATTGCAACAGTAAATGTGGATAAATTTCAGTGTGCCATCTTTGATGGCTTTAATAATGATATTCCAGTTAACAAACATCTTTTTTTATTCGAAAAGAAAAGTGATGCCAAAAATATTGGAGATAAGGGCAAATCGTTAATATTCTCTGAGTGCCTGCATGGAGAGGCACTTGCATATTTCATTAAAGATTGCTCAGATGATGATTGGCAAACAGAAAAGTGCAGAGTCTTATAGCAGTGGTGATAGGAAGCAGTCTGACAAAAAATGGCACAAACTCTGTATTTATACTAGTAGTTACATAACATGCCAGAATGTTCTCGAAAGTACTGGTCTAGGTGAAAGATCCTGAAATTGTGGAAATTTAATTAGTGGTTGCCTGTTCGCATAGACCAAAGCCATCATATTTTTTAATATTTTACCTATATATAGATATTACTGAATGTGTCGAAATCATCTTCCCTAACATTTACATGACTAATTCCTTAGTTTTCCACCAATAGACTGTTAACTGCTACATCTTTTTCACAAACATTTGTAAACACAGTCTTCAGTGTTGTCTCAATAATTTGATCTTTTTCTGTTACACACTTTTCATGTTTCCATTTCGATTTTATTTTGATTTGCAAATAAATCTTCATGATTCTTTAAAATCTTGTATAAGAGGGATTAATAAACAGTTGACTTAAGAGCAACATTCCTTGGCTATTCTTTGGAATTGGCCATAGGAATTTAACAACTGACTTTATCCCTTAAACTTTAAGGTCATTATGCCTCATGAAAGACTGTATAATGAAAGTGACTAAGCAGAAGTAAAGCTCAAAATAAGCAAAAAGATAGTTTGGCACAGAAAAACAAGGTCTTCTAAGAATATCATTTTGTTAAGGTTGTAAGTCCAGCTGATTTTCCTAACACTTGAAAAACAGGCTCTTAATTCTGAGCATCTCCATCTTTTGCAATTTCTGTGTTATACTTCAACTTCATTTGGAAATTTTATCCTTTAATTGGTGACTTTAGTGTAAAAAATTCATTCAATAATATTTTGATAACAGCCAACTTGTTGATCACAGTAGATGATTTATTTTTTATATTTTCGTATACAAGTAGCTAGGACTTCAGCAGTTTGATAACAATATTCAAATAACATTAACCATTATGACATTAAGCGGCACATACTATATGTAAAGACAGTGTGTGTGAATGTGGAACAGTAAGTGTTATGCATCCTCCATTATTTGATTTTTTGCAATTGCACATTTCTTGTATTTCAAGGGTAATTTTGAAATTTAAATTAAAATGAATTACAGAAGTTGTTGCATTAACAATTTATATAAAATTAATTTTTCATATTTTTTCCCATATAAGATATTCTGCATTGTATGACATTCTTCTGAATATTAGTTTCTGATTTTTTTTTTTTTTAAATACTTCTTTGTTTTAAAGGAAGATGCCACTTATGTTGAAGTTGGTAAACTTGCAACTCTTGGAAATAAAACAACTTTTCTATTTGTTGACAAGACAGAAAGACTTCTAGGTTGTCATGTAAGTACAGTATAAAAAAATTTAGATCATTGTATTTAAATGCCTTAAGAAATAAGTGTCAAACTTGTTCTGATTAGTTAGCATTGAAAGAATTGTTAGAAAGAAAGCTAAAAATTTTATATTCTGCGCACACTTAACCATCGGCAATTAGTCACACTTTGTGAGAAGTTAAGCAATTATTGAGCAAATTGTGTTTGGAGGGATGTAAAGAAAATGCTATACTTTTTAAGTTGAAAATAATGATATTTGATATTATACATACATATAAACAGTTTAAAAAAAAGTAAAAATGTATGCTAGATGTTAACAAATAAAACTTGGTTTATGGATATCTGAAAAATTATCAGTTTAAAAGGACATTAAACCTCAGTAAAATTTCATGTGTTAAAGTTAAATTTATATATATAGCATAATAAAACAAAAATTCCTGTTACTTGCTATTTGATTTAAGAAAATAGTCAGGATGGCAAATGATTTTTTTAAAAAATATTATTATTGTTTTGTTCTTTATGCTGTGTGCTGATTGCTTAATAACAAATAAATCTAATTTAAAGCTTATTTTAAAATCTAATGTTTACAGATTACTCTAAAATATAATAGAACATTATTTAAATTAGTTTTGATGAAGTTTGTTCTTATTTAATTAAAGATTATATATTTTACTTAATAAACTATCATAAAGGAAGTAACTGTTTAAGAAGGATAAGAAATAATTGGGGACTTTTTCATGTAAAAAGGTTATGTGCATTTCTTTTACCATTATTTTGTAGGGATATTTGTCAGGAGCTAAATAGCTTTGCAGGAATAGTTCTTAAATTGTAGCAAGCATTTTTTCTTGAATACACTGCATATTTGAATCAGGGTATTGCTTCTTAAGTGAGGCAATATCAAAATATACAGATACACTTTAAGGAGGCTATTCATTTTTACTTTTTAGAAATATCTCTTTGTTATCAGTGTTAAGTTGTACACATTTAAAGACATCTTAAATACATTTTAACACTTATTTGGCATTTTTTACTTATGAAAATAAAGATGTAAAAATTCACATTCAGGGCAGGATTGTGTTGGGATTTATTTTTATGGAAAACATTAAGTAATGTCATGATTTTATAATAGCTTTAGTATTTTAAACATGGATGTACATGATCCATGCAATTTGATATTTCTGTCAGTAAAAATTAGTACAGTCAAAAGTCGTTAATCCGGACTCATCGGGATGTCGGCGATTCCGGATTATCGATTTTTTCGGATTATAGATCATCAGTTTAAATCTGGTAAGATGGCATGCAGAAATTATAAAATTAAAAATATGAAACAGTAATTTATGAAATAAAGAACAATTATGATCTAAAGGATATCGAAATTACAAAAAAAAAAAACAAAAAAAAAAAAAAAAAAAAAAAAAAAAAAAGCTTATTTTTTGTTTACTTTTAAACATTTCTTTCAGTGTGTAAGTTGTTTAAGTTGCTTCGTTTTTTATGTGATATACATTCTCTTTAATTCTATAAACGACGTAATTTCTTGTTCAGTTACAAGTTCCACTGTTCAAGTCCTATAATTGCTGTGTCGAGAATACCGACTAATTTGTCAATCGAAATTTTTTCATTTTCAATAACCTCTGTCACTTTCTTCATTATCGGAAGCGAATTATAATGATGAGGAATTTGATTTAAATCATATCAAAGACGGAGTACATCGAGATGAAATACTACATTTAGTAAGGAATTATAACTAAATAAAATAAAAACATCTGCTTTGAAGATAAGGAAAGTGCTGACAGATCAACTTCCAATTCATTGCACGCCGCGGTGGTAAAGATAAACAAAGTTTAGATAACCAAAGGATATGCCTTTATCTATTTTTTGCAGCAATTCCACTTTTTGTTTAATGGACTTCGAAACCTACTTTCGCTTTGTAGATCCTTTACATATTAGTAAATATATATCAGAAATTCTATTTGACATAATCGAAAGTTCAAGCTTACTTTTATAAAATTGCTCTGACAGTCTGCAAAAAATAATAAGCCGAATTCAATTCGAAGATTAAGGAACAACACAATCTGCAACTTTAACTGAATTAGATAATTTTAGCTTATCTTATATAGTCCATTATACATTAAACGCGCATTCGTAAACGTATTTTGCGCACGCGCACACGAGTATTCGCAGCCAAAAAGGTCTTACGTGCATGCGTCAACGCTACGCATACGCAGAAAGTTTGTAGCTTTGAGGTCCAGATTATGGGTGTCCGAATTAACTAACAACTTTTGACTGTACTTCTTTTCTGCCAGCAAAAGTAATAGTTCTTTTCTACTATACATTCTCTAAAAAAGAGAACTGAATTAACGATTCATGTTTGGTACTTTATAAGAATTAAACAGAAATCATAACATGACATAATTAAATCTGTTGTTTGCTGTATCAAATCAAAATGTTGAAGAATTCTTAATTTTCTTCATCTGATGTATAACTTTCCTTGGCTGATGTTGCAGAATCATAGATATTATCAGTTTCAGCATCATCACTAGTTCATCTGTAATCAGAAATATCCGTGGTATTAGAAATCTTCGTGTAAAATATTGTCCGTGAAATAAATTTTTGTGCCTTTGTGATTGAACACTTAGAGACTTGGCTTTTATATTTGGCATTTAGGCATAAAATTTATTTATCTCCCACCTGACTGCATGAACCATTCTTATGTACAGGGTTCATAGCGGTCCTTATATGAGCTTATAAGTCCTTATATTTGAAAATAAAATATAAAGGCCCTTATAGGTGCTTACTTTTTCTTTTAAAGCCCTTATTTTTTTTTTTTATTTATTTTTTTTTAGTGCTTTTTTTTTTTTAATGAACGTGCTATTTTTCCCCGTACCAAAGCCGAAACTAAATAAACAACTTTTCATCCTAATGTGAATATCAGATGGTGAGTCATACTCCCGGAAATAGCTTTTTGCCCTTTCTCTGCATTAACATAACCTTGTGTGCACGAAGAGTACAGACAGGTGCCCATCGTTCTATTGGTCAAAGAATTGCGAAAGCAGTAGAAAATTCCGCTACATTCGGCATTCTTTTCCTCCCATCCAAAATATTACACACGTTTGAATTTCTATCAAGATCTTAAAAAGATTTGCATTCTCGTTCTGCTAGGTCAGTTCATATTCGTGTTTATTATGATCGTTATGCTTATATTATGAGCATATGTATGAATGTTTATAATAGCATAGTTGCAGTAATGCTGAAGTATAGTAAACTTCCAAAAATGGTTGTGTTTTAACACAGATTAGCTTTCTAAGGAATAATATTCGGAATGGCTTAAATAAAGGGAAAGTAATCGAATAGTCAAAATAGTTTCATTTTGTTGGCCAATACATTATACAGTACGAAGGTTGGGAGGTCTCTCCTTTCTCCGCAAAATCTTGAATATTGAAACTGTTACAGTTCGCTGCAAAACAAGCAACGGACCTTTTTTTTTTGGGGGGGGGGGTCACTTTCCAATTTGGATTGAATAGGACTAAAAGCTCTGCGGTCTACCAACCCAAGCGAAGAATGATTCTATTCCGGAAATTTAACACCGTCTGTTTAAAATTATAATGAAAAACACCCCAGTTATTTAGTTCCTTATTCTCCCAATACCGGCAGTTGTTGATTCCGATTGCGTAATATCACGTAGGGAAGAATTACGGCGCACGTATTGCGCAATAACGTTTGCGATATTTTGCAGAGATAATTAATTTTGATGTTCAGTCCGAGATTTGTTTATGAGCACTTAAAAGAGTTTTAATCTGCTTGCTAAGCAGAAATATTTTTTAGTTCGGTTGGTTTATTTTTATATGATGCACATATTGAAATGTCAAAAGCATTTATTTAGCGGAAAAATCTAAAAAGCGGCTACAGTCTACCCCCCCCATCCGCTCCTTCAAGTTACGCTCGACTGTCCGAATATTCGCCAATTTCCAAGTATGCGGGTTAGTTAAGCTTTTACTGTTAAAGATGACTGCATGAAGCAAATTTCTGTCTTCTGATTTCAGAAATGTTCCTCTTTTTTACTTAAATTACTTTGCTTGCAATATCTGTTAAGAGAAAAACTGATATACAATGAAAATTTAGAAAATGTTCAGAATTTAGATTTAAATTATTTAAATATCAATATGAGTGGAAAAACAAATTGTATTTTTTATTAGGATCCAAGCGAATACAATAAGTATGCCTTATTATTATTTATTTTCTCTATTTTGAACTGAAATTTCATCATTAAATCTTGTAATATAGTTTAGTTCTTCATAGTTTTTTTTTCCTCGCATTGTAAACTAGTTCTGTAAATTGAACTATTATTTAAAATTAAGAAGAAGAAAAAAAAAAAAAAAAAAAAATGTAATTATTTTCCATGGTTGAGGTAATCCTTATTCTCTCTTAATAAGTACTTCATTTCTCATATTTTAAATTACAATTCTAATTTTAAAGGTTATGCAGTTGTGTATGATGTAATTACGCAGGTGCTTATTTTTTCTCTTAAAATGTGCTTGAAAAGTGCTTATAGGTGCTTATGTTTTTAACTAAAATGTTGCTATGAACCCTGTATGTAACTTTTGATAAATTTAACTGAGGTGTCATGTGGTTGTAACATCAAATTTTCAGAAGTCATAGCAGTGTTAATTCACCCATAGTGGAAAACCTTCTTGACTTCAAATGGCATGTCTAATATATTTAACCTTTTATTTACCATTTGAAAACTACTTGAATATTGTTCCTAGAGAAATAATAATTCCTAAATAAACCCTGTTGACTAATTAATGCACAAAAGTAGTCTATTCTGGCTACTTTTTTCAAATTAATGATTCTTCATTTTTCATGTTCTCAAAATCAAGGCTTGTGAAATGCTTCTAGTAAATGATATCATAATAGCTTGCCATTCAGAAATTAAACTTTACAGCAAACACAGAAGAGTTTTTTTATTGTCATAGTTAGAGAACCATCAATATCTTTGGGTTTAGTTAATATGCATCAGAAACATAAGCACAAATAAAAACCAGCTCATTTTCATGATCTTTTCCATTGGTATTTGCAATGCATTACACCTTGATGTGTGTGCGTGTGTGCGGGGGGGGAGAAACCCCGTATCTCTGACATTTTGAAGTTTTAAGACTTATTCATTTTATGTCCAAAATTTCTTACTTTTAAACTAGATCAAGCTCGTAGTTCATCCCAAGAGTATATGATAAACTGACCACCTTAAAATTATGTTTTACTTGCCACTTCCAAGTGATTGAAATCTGTTGCTCCATTTAAAAGGGGGATAATAATAACATCCTATAAGAAGGTAGTTTTTACTTTATTTGTGGCTCTTATATTTCAGGTCTTTTCTCTTTATATGTAAACGTATAGCATTTTCTTTTAGTTATTTTATTTTTCTTCTTAAATAAGTCAAATGGAGTTCAGTACTGGTAGGTTAACTTCTGAGAAAAAATATATGATAATTTTTTTAAATTATTTTAAAACTAATTTTTCTTAATAAGTTTTATCCAAATAACAATCTATGTTTTTAATATTTTTAAGGCATCAACTAAAGTTCTGCAGTTGTTTAAAATATTAAACAGTAAGGAAAGAGCAAAGAAGTTTCGTAAAAGGCAGAAAAAGGAATTGAAAGAGCGAAGGTCAGTCAAATATCTTTGTGTAGCCTGAGGTACAAAAAATCTATTCTTTTCCTGATTTTCATTGTTTCTTTTCTTTTAGTCTTATCTTACAGCATCAGTTGTTTGTTTTAACTAATCTAGTTTTAATTTTCAATTTGCGATCAAATGAATAATCTTCTCTGGTATGGTTTTTTTCTTGAAATTTTTTTATATATTATTTGTTGAATTTGAAATTTTATTACAATTTATGTAAATGTTAATATATATTTATATGTGTTTTTTCTTTAATGTATATTAATTTTTATTTATTTGTTACTTGTTTCACACAAATAAGTGCACTGTGATACTATGTCTGAGAAGAATTTGGGTAATTTCAATAAAATATATTGCAAAACAAATTGACCAGTACAAGGAAATGTGACAGTAAATAATGTTTGCGTTTACTGCAACATTTACATGATGTTTCTTTGTTTACGAACAATGAATGTTTTTAAATATAAGAAAATGTGGTCATGAAATCTATGGAAAAATTTTAGATACATTAAGAAATTTGATGGAGAACTCATAAATAAATAAAAAAAAAAAAATATCTGTGAAATAGCCAATATGGGAGAATTTTATAACATTATCAAAATATAATAGAATTTTGTTACCACTTTACAAAGGCACTTAATTTGGTAAGATAAATTAAAATCAATGCTTAAAATCTTACACACTTTTTTAAGAAAGGTATGGGCTATAATATGAAGAAATTGAGTAAAATTTTCTCTCTATATGTGTGTATATTGTATATCTATATATTGTTTCATAAGAAAAAATAGTAAAGTTAATTTAAATTTAAACAATTCTCTTGCACCATTGCTGCAAGGAATGAAATTTGAATTACAAACATTTTCTATTCATAAGAAGCAAATTTAAAGTTAATTAAAATTTCAATTTTAAATTATGAAATTTTAATTGCAAACAAATAATTAATTATTGCTGTGAACTAATCTACGATATCATTTAAATTCTGACTGCATTTGTAAATTAAGTGTGTAAGGATCTTAAGTTTTACTAACGTTTATTTTATTTTAAATCTTTACTATCACTTCTTATTTTCTACTTCCGGCCAGAATTATAAGCGTTAATGTATTTATGCAAACTTTGTCTGGCGAATGCCAAGTATTTAAGTTGTGGCTTTTTGCCAAGCGAAAGAGAGGAAGCAGTGAGTCGAAGCAGGCCGCTTACCTTAGAAGTTTTACTCAGTTGCTGGTTGCCTTCCAGGGTAGAGATTTTAATCCTCTTGATAATTTTTAAACGTATTGTAGTGTTGTTCACAGTTCTCTGTACTACATACGGCTTCCTGTTAATATAAGGCCAATCTTCCACGTTTATTATTTTAAAGTTAATTAGAGTTTAGTTTTATTTTTATATTTTTACGTTTTAGACCCAAGTAGTGGGATGTGTATTCCGAAGTACGGAAGTTATTGTAAATAGAGAAAAATAAAGGGTTTTGTATACCCTTCTTGTGTATCCTGTCTACTTCCCACAGTTATTGAACATAGCTTTAGTAAGCTCTCTGTTCCGAGTCAGGTCCTTGCATGTTCCCGAAGAAAGTAAGACGGAACATTGAACCTGATAGTGGCGCCCAACGAAGAAGAATAACCATGGCCGAGTTTCAAGAAGAACCTGTGCTGCCTGCAGAAGCGGCTCAGAATCCAGAAATGCCAGCTGCCGCCCTGGAAGGATTTGGTTACATCGTCCAGACCATGCGCGCTTCGATGAAACCAGAAGCAACATTTAATGGAAACTCACCGGTAACCAGTTTTTTGGAAAAATTGGATGACCACTTCATGCTCTACCCCGTGCACGAATTTCAAAAAGTTACCTTAGCTACCAGCGCTTTGAGGGGCCAAGCGCTTAACTGGTTCAAATGTATAGGCAGAAGTCTCTTGGGTCAAGCAGGAAGTCCCACCTATACTTACGAAGAATTTCAAGACTGCCCTACTAAAAGCCTTCCCTGTAAGGGATCGGGATCGTGCGAAATTAGAAACGGAACTTTTCAGTATATATCAACAAAGAATCGAAAACCTCTCAAGCTTTATTTTAAGAAAAATTCACGTCTTCAAACTCTTGTATGGAAACCGTCCGGATCCTGAGATAATTCAAGTGATTTTGCCGAGGTTACTGCCCCAAGTGCAAGACTTTATTGAATTAAGAAAGAAATCCGACTACACTGGAAAAGTTATTTGAGCTAGCAATCCAGTTTGAAAGTAGAAGAACGGCGGACGTCGAAAGAAGACGCCAATATCAACAGCGAAACCAATTTGGTGCGCCAAGACTACAGCAAACTCAAGCACACGGCTACGGAAGCAAAGCGAATCAGTGGGCAAGGAAACCCGAGCATTCAAAAACAGCCAGCGAACGTCGACAGTTCAATAGCAATCCAGGAAAAAAGTCTCAAGGCCAGTGGAAAAAGAAGGAAAGCACGGAAATGAAAAATAATTTAAACTAAAACGGATTTCTGCTGACGGGAGGGTGCGGAAATCCGAAGGCCACGAAAACCCCTCTTCCTTCAAGTTAAATACAGTAATGGTGAAAAATTTGACTCTTCCGAAGATTGAAGTGTTGGTGAATAATATCCCAGCCACCGCACTCCTGGATACAGGCGCGCAGTGTTCCTGTGTGGCAGAAGATTTTTTTAGGAAGTAGTATTTTCGCAAATACCGCATATATAATTCGGATAATACGACAGTGTGTTAGCGGCGCAAGGAGAAAAATGTAAGTGTATAGGTAAAGTACCGCTGTATGTCCGTATCAAGGACGAACAAGTAAAGGTGATGTTTTTTATAGTAAAGAATCTGCAAGCACATATAATCTTAGGAATAGATTTTCTTTCAGAGGCACAAGCAACGCTGGATTTTAATGAAGCGTCCCTTAAGCTGACAATGAAACCAGTTCGTGAAGAAAAGGCTGAACCGCCGATGTTAAACCTTGACCACCTGCCTAATGACGAGCAAGGAAGAATCCGACAAGTGGTAAGTGAATTTGCTTCGTTATTTAGTGATATTCCAGGATTTACTCAGGTTACTAACCATAGTATTGACACCGGAGATTCAATGCCAGTTCGCCACAAAGCATACCGGTATGATAAGAATAAGGAAAAAATTATAGAATGGCATATCACCGATATGCTACGTAAAAAGATCATAACGCCCATCTCAAGTAGTTATGCTAGCCCGGTGGTTTTATGTAAGAAAAATAATGACTATCCTTTGACACATCCAAAAAGGTGGAGATTCGCAATTGATTACCGTAAATTAAACTCCATAACTAAATATCCGGTATATCCGTTACCTATTATTGAAGAAATTGTAAGGAACATAACATCCAAATATATGACGACTTTAGACTTAACGACTGGTTATTTTCAAATAGGGGTTAGGCCTGAGGACGTGCCTAAGACTGCTTTTATAACCAAGTCTGGCACTTATGCATTTTTGCGTATGCCGTTTGGCCTTTCAGGGGCACCGGCAACATTTCAGCGATGTATGGACATTGTGTTAAGACCTGTTCTTGGAAAGTCCACATTTATCTATTTAGACGATATCATTATTACTAGTGATAATCTCGACCAACATGTACAGGATTTAAGACAGGTGTTTTCTTTATTAAATGATGCCGGTCTAAAAGTTAATGTCGAAAAGTGCAAATTTGCAGCCCCTGAATTAAAATATTTAGGTTACAAAATATCTCAGAAAGGAATCTAGACAGACGAATCAAAAATAATCGCTGTACAAAAGTATCCGACTCCAAACACGGCAAAGAAGCTCTCTTCTTTTCTAGAACTTTGTTCATAGAAAAAGGCAAGATTCTCGTGGACGGCCGAAGCCAATAGTGCTTTCGAAAAATTAAAACAAGCATTAACGCAAGCCCCTGTGTTGAAATTTCCTGAAAAGGATGAGAATTTAGAAATTTCAGCGGATGCTTCGGATTATGCGGTAGGAGCGGTACTTTCGCAAAATCAGCAGCCCGTGGCATTTTTTAGCCGAACTTTAAATCAAACACAAAGAAACTATTCCGCGACCGAGAGAGAGGCACTTGCAGTTCTGTTAGCAGTGCAAAAGTTCCGAGTCTATTTTGGAAAGGCGCCAATAACAGTGTACTCTGATCATGCGGCGGTAACTAGATTGTACTCAGGGGAAAACTTATCCCCAAGGTTAATAAGATGGGCACTCAAGCTACAAGAATATAATCTGGTAATCAAGCATACCCCCGGAAAGGAAAATATCGTAGCAGATGCCCTATCCAGAATTAAAATAGATGAAGAAGGTAATACCGTAAAGGTGGCAATGCTCACAGCATGTACAATAAATTCCCGAGAAACTGTAATAACCGAACTGGGTAAGGATCCTGAGTTTGGAAGCATTTATGAGTATTTAAAGGATCCTGAAAATTTTAGCCACCAAGATATTGTGGCGATAAGAAATAGGGCGGCCCATTACGAACTAATAGATGGTCTATTATTCTATACAAAAACTACGAATTCCAACAACGAATTTCGACCTGTTATCCCAGCTAGTCTTAGATTAAATATCCTGCAGGAGCTCCATGACAGCCCTTTAGCTTCTCATGCTGGTATTCGAAAAACTATCCAACGCGTACGCGAGGCAGTCTATTTTCCTGAACTGCAAAAGTTAACAAGGGCGTATGTCCAGTCCTGCCCAACATGTCAAGCAGTTAATTATATTAATTTCCGCCCGGCCGGGTTTCTAAATAGTATTAAATCCGAATTTCCAAATGAAATAATTGGCATCGATTTATTGGGCCCTTTCCCAAAAAGTCAGTTAAATAAAAGTCGCTATCTCCTTGTTATGGTTGATCATTTTAGTAAAGTGGACCGAAATTGTTCCCTTAAAACGAGCCTCCGCGAAATTAGTTACTGATTCTATTTTAAATAAATATATTTTTAAAATACGGGGCGCCCCTAAAAGTTATATCGGATAATGGTCCTCAATTTGTAAGTAATATATTTGAAG